AAATCCATCCCCGGGCCATGGAGTGCCCATGGAGATCCCAAATCCATCCCTGGGCCATGGAGTGCCCATGGAGATCCCAAATCTATCCCTGGGCCATGGGATGTCCATGGAGATCCCAAATCCATCCCCGGGCCATGGAGTGCCCATGGAGATCCCAAATCCATCCCTGGGCCATGGAGTGCCCATGGAGATCCCAAATCCATCCCCAGACCATGGAGTGCCCATGGAGATCCCAAATCCATCCCCGGGCCATGGGATGCCCATGGAGATCCCAAATCCATCCCCGGGCCATGGGATGCCCATGGAGATCCCAAATCCATCCTCAGGTCCATGAGATGCCCACACCAATCCCAAATCCATCCCCAGACCATGGAGTGCCCATGGAGATCCCAAATCCATCCCCAGACCATGGAGTGCCCATGGAGATCCCAAATCCATCCCCAGGCCATGAGATGCCCACACCAATCCCAAATCCATCCCTGGGCCATGGGATGCCCACACCAATCCCAAATCCATCCCCAGGCCATGGGATGCCCATGGAGATCCCAAATCCATCCCCAGACTATGGAGTGCCCATGGAGATCCCAAATCCATCCCCGCGCCATGGGATGCCCACACCAATCCCAAATCCATCCCCGGGCCATGGAGTGCCCATGGAGATCCCAAATCCATCCCCAGGCCATGGAATGCTCACACCAATCCCAAATCCATGCCCGGGCCATGGGATGCCCACACCAATCCCAAATCCATGCCCGGGCCATGGGATGCCCATGGAGATCCCAAATCCATCCCTGGGCCATGGGATGCCCATGGAGATCCCAAATCCATCCCCAGACCATGGAGTGCCCATGGAGATCCCAAATCCATCCCCAGGCCATGGAGTGCCCATGGAGATCCCAAATCCATCCCCAGGCCATGGGATGCCCATGGAGATCCCAAATCCATGCCCCAGAGCCCCCGGAAGGACAGAGATGTGGCAAAGGGGATTTTTGGGGTGCTGCAGAGCCCTGGGCAGGCTCCAGAGGCGGCACCTTCCTGTCCAGGGCCGGGACGAAGGTGAGGAACTCGTCCACGTGGCCCACGCTGAGCCACTCCGAGTAGACCTCGAGCGGCGCCTGCACGCTCTGCGCCAGGAGGAAATCCCGCACGGCGCGGCACATCCTGCGGCCCGCCGCCCTGCGGGACGCGCACGGGTGGGCACCGACACCC